CCCCCGCTCTTAGCACTCCTGTGCCCCCCACCCCGGCCGGGCCGCTTGTCCCAGCCCCAATCCCTCCCTCCCCCAACCCCAATGGACTTACCAACTGGAGGCAGCTATGTCCAGCATGGTGAGGACTGCTGCCTGTTTAGTCTATGGCCGAATCTCCGAAGTGGCGCCGAATCTTTGGATCTGATTTGGCCTCATCAAATCAGGACAGTAACTTGAATCTCTGAATCAAATCACTGTCCCTCTGAATCAGCCAAATCCGAAGCGAATACTTGCTGCTTTGCACAGGCCTAGTCCTAAGTCTTCTGACTAGATAGGTTTCTGGTCCATGCTTTCAACACTGCATATGCCTGCTAAATGGAAAATAATGAGCAGGCACTGAAAGTCATTATTTCCTCCTAGGAGAGCGTCTACATCACTTGGCTGTAGATTCATACTCTGTTGTGCTTTTTCTGTCTGGCACTGTAAATCTTGAATTCTCTTCTGAAGACTAGCAAATTTTGAGCTACAGTAGAGAATCATAGAGAAGTAGGGCTGGAAGGGACCTCCAGAGGCCATCTCGTCAAACCCGCTGCATGAGGCAGGATGATCCCTTTCTAAAACATCCCTTACAAACCATAATCTAAACCCTTGGTCTCCAACCTTTTTGGGTGGAAGATCACTTTTTGAATTAAAAAGCAACCCACAATCTACTGTGTACCTAAGCCCTCCTGCTTGACCCCAGGGAGCCATGCAACCGGAACCTCCTGAACAGAATGTGCAAACAGGCATGTTTCTAGGCCTGGCGCACAAGTTAGTGCAGGAGTTTGCACAGGAGGGGCCCGAGGCCCTAGGTAGCGAGCCTCAAAGGAGCGGTTGCCACATTAGTAGCCAAACAACTACTGGCGCAATGGTTGGTGGGACGCATCACACCGAAGGTTCCCCCCTGCGGCTGGATCCCTCCCCTCGGGTACTTCTGAGGCCTACTCCCAGATGGAACCCATGGTTCCAGCCTCCCTTCAGACAGAGCCCCTGGCTCTTAGCTTTGGGGGCTGTCTGACATGATTTCATGCACATGGGATCAGGAGCATTGCAACCTCCCCTTATGAGGTTTGTTCCATATTGGAGTCTCTGGAATCCCAGATAGTGGAGCTCCAGACCACGGTTCAGGAGCTTCGTGCCATCCGGGATGGCGAACAGGAAACTAACTCCTACTGCCAGGTCCTTCACCCCAGGACAGAAGAGTGACCTAGGTAGCCTGCCAGGACCAGGGAGGCCAAGAGGCATTCCCATATTGTCCAGCCAAGGGGCTAGACAAAGGTTGTCTCCGTGCTGAAGTCTCACTATACCAGGGTCACCCCCCCCATCTGGATCTCTGCAACAGGTGCAAACCTCTTGCAGCACCAGTAGAGCCTGCAGAGCTGCCAGCTATTGCAAGTGAGGAAGAAACATGACCAGATATAATCCCTAAGATGAAATGCAGAGTAGTCGTTGTGGATGACTCCCTCCTGAGGGGGACAGAGGGAGCAATCTGTCGCCCCGACCCTTTAACCGGGGAGGCCTGCTGCCGATCAGGAACCCATATCCGGGATGTGGCTGAGAGAATCCCAAAATTTATCCAGCTCTCTGACTACTACCCTATGCTCCTTATCCATGTGGGCACAAATGGCATGGCTTAGAGCAATCCCAGCAGGGTCATGAGTGGCTACAGGGCTCTGGGAGTAGGGGGTTGGGGGCACAGGTGTTTTTTTCCTCAGTCCTTCCAGTTATGGGTCATGACAGAGGAGGGAGAGATGAATTGAGGCAGTAAACAAAAGACTGCAACACTGGTACCACCGTGAAGGCTGTGGCTTCTGTGACCACAGTCCGTTCTTCAGAGAGAGGCAGTGGTTCGTTGGGAAGAGACCACCTCCACCTTACTCCACTGGGGAAGAAGCTCTTCTCAGCCAAAATGACTGACTTGCTCAACTGGGTTTAAACTGTGCTCGCTGGGGGATGGGCGGACAACCGCCAGAGCAAGCTCATTGAGCATCAAACACAAAACCAGCAGGTTACTATGCTTAAGGGAATCCACTCCTACTCCAGCCCAGGAACAGAGCTTCTCCATGAGTACAAGGAAGCCTAAGGCCTCCACCGGCACATTTACGTGCCTGTACACTAATGCTAGGAGTTTGGGGAATAAACAGAAGGAACTGGTCCTCCTAAACAAAAATTTTGTCCAAAACAAAAATTACTATGATATCATGGGGATCATGGAGCCCTGGTGGGACTCCTCCTATGACTGGAGTACCAGTATAAATGGCTATACCTTGTACAGGAGAAATCGTGCTGAAAAAAGGAGTCGGACGGTGTAGCTCTCTATGTCCGTAGAAGCTGAGTTTGGCACCCATGGAGGACGATTGGAGATTCTTTGGGTTAGAATATGAGGGGAACATAGTGAAGGGGATACAATGGTAGGAGTCTACTACAGACCTCCAAACCAGAAACAAGTGCTTGACCAAGAATTTGCCAGGGAACTGGCCAAGGCTGCACACTCTGTGTATGGCCATCATGGGAGACTTCAACTACCTGGACATCTCGCGGGATAAGCACTTGGCTAAATCCAGTCGTTCACAAAGCTTCCTTATATGTGTGGATGAGCTCTACCTGTCCCAAGAAGGTTATGAGCTGACAAGAGCTAAGGCGCTGTTGGACCTGATACTGGCCAATGGGATGATCTAAGCAGTGACCTAAGAATCGAAGGGAAGCTGGGTGACAGTGACCATGAGTTGATCACTTTCACTATCCATCGCAAAGCTGGCAAGTCATCCAACAATACAGTAGTCCTTGACTTTAGGAAAGCTGACTTTCATAAGCTCAGGAGGCTTGTTCTTGTGGCCCTGAGAGGCTATGATTTCACAGGGAAGGGAGTTCATGATGAGTGGTTGCTCTTTAAGGAAGCGATCCTAGAAGCACAAGGCAAGTCCATCACAAGCCATAGGAAAGGTGGTAAAAGGGCTCAACAATCCCCTTGGCTCAACAGGGAACTCACGGACCTCCTACATCTAAAAAGAGAGGCTTATAAAGGATGGAGGAGAGGAAACACCACTAATGGGGAGTATACTGCACTGGTACACACCTGCAGGGAACGGACTAGAAAAATCAAGGCTGCAACTGAACTCCATCTGGCTACACAAATCAAGGCCAATAAAAAGTACTTTTTCAGATATGTGGGGAGTCAAAAGAAAAACAAAGGCAAAATTGGACCCCTGCTAAACCAGCTGGGGCAGCTGACTACCAACACCCAGGAAAAAGCCAATCTGCTTAATGATTACTTTGTGTCAGTTTTTCACCAGCGCAAAAGGACCACCCTGCCTAACATGATGCGGAACAACCAGGGTAAAGGTGAGTATATGCCCACCACTGGCGTGAATCTTGTGAGGGAGCATCTTGAGAGACTGGACCCCCATAAATCATCTGGTCCATATAGGTTGCACCCAAGGGTGCTAAATGAACTGGCAGACATCACAGCACAACCACTGGCAAGGATATTCAAGAACTTGTGGCACTTGGGTGGAGTACCTGAAGATTGGAAGAGGGCCCATGTGGTGCACATCTTCAAGAAAGGGAGGAAAGTAGATCCAGGAAACCACAGGCCAATCAGTTTGCCCTCAATCCCTGGGAAGATTTTGGAAAACATTATCAAAAAAACCATTCTTGATAGGCTAACAGAAGACAACATTCTGAGGGATGGTCAGCACGGGTTTGTTGCGGGTAGGTCTTGCCTGACCAACATCATTTCCTTCTGCGACCAGGTGACATATCACCTGGACAAAAGGGAAGAGGTTGATGTCATATATTTGAACTTTAAAAAAGCCGTTGACCTGGTGTCGCATGATGTCCTTATGGAAAAATTGGGCAACTGTGGCCTCGA